CTATTCTATTCTATTCTATTCTATTCTATTCTATTCTAACTGCATTCCCCAACAGAAAGTCCAGGCAAGAATCCTGCATGAGGTTAACTGAAACATTAGTCCTTAACAGCTTGTTATGATAAATGCAAGCCCGTGAGCTCCCAGTTTCAAATTAAGTCAGTTCAAACAGAGAAATAGACAAACCTCAGTTCTGGCAAGGCAATCTTTGTCTCACAAAAGACACAAGGAGAAATACAAACAGTTGTGTGCAACAACCAAACCACTGCCCTTTCCTCCTATTTATTCCCCAGCCAGGGAGGGGCCAGTCAGCACCTACAAGCCTTGTTTGGCTTCCTGAGATGACTCATTGTCCTCTGTTGTTCTGCTCTGAGCATATGCATATCTGGAACAGGCCCCAGCTGTTCCTCCTCCTCGCTTCTTTCTGACTCCAAAGGCAGCTGCCTCTCTGGCTGGCAAATGCTGGATGGCCCTGACTCTATCTCTGTGTCTCATGCTGGGCATCTATCAGAGCCTTCCCTGAGCTCCAGAACTGGCCCACGTTTTTCCCCAACCTCCTCCTTCTCTGAGTCTGCCACCCACTCTGCTGGTGGCTGGCGGGCCACAACACCCGGCCCACCATGCTGGGAAGTCAAGGCGTGTTATGGGTCCCATCAATTCGGGATGTACGTCTGGTAGGAGTATCACAAATGGCCTTCTTGGTTTTGGCCCCTTGTCTAGGGCACCTCATTCTCCTATAGCTATAGTTGTCCCCTGTCCCATTGCTTTTCAGAAAGGCCCTAACAATATGGTGCTACCGGTGGTCTCCTGGGGACCCTGAAGGGAGATGGAGCTTTTCCGTTGTGATTTTTAATGTCGTGAGACACCTGGAGTCATCAATGTGTGAATTGGGCAGCCATAGAAATTGAATAAATAAATAATCAAGAAATATTTCCCACCTGTTTGGGATGCTGCACCGCAGCATAAACGGTGTGGGGCATCTCCTGGATGTTCTTTGCTGCTGTTCTAGCTGGCTGATTTGTCTTCCTCCTGGTTTCCTAGGAGTTTTAAAAAAGAGAGAGAGAAGTTAAATATTTATTGTCACCTGCCAGGTTTTCAGCAATTCTGAACTGAAAGGGAGTAGATACTATGGGGAGACATGGTCTCCTGCTTCTTCTGACTCTGGTTACAGCAGTCGGTGTGTGTGTGTGTGTGTGTGTGTGTGTGTGTTTGTGTGTGTGTGGTTCACCCCAAGGTACCTGCATAGACAGGTAAGCTATTTTATTTTAGTACTTTATCTTTACCTTACATGTGACTTTTTACCTTTTCGTTTGTTTGACTTTTACTTTTCATTCATTTTTTATTTCACCTTATATTGCCTCACTTTTCCTTTCCCTTTCCCTTTTTACATTGCTCTTTACTTTACTTTACTTTCTTTTTCACTTTATTTTACCTGACCTTACTTTACTTTGTTTTCGTCACTTTCAGTTTTACTCTACTTTTTACTCTACCCTTTACCTTGATTTTTCCTTTCACTTTCACTTTCTACTCTTTACTCACCTTATCTCAGTTTACTTTATTTTCCTCACTTTCATTTTTTACTCTAGTTTTTACCTTTACTTTATCTTACCTTGGTTTTTACTTTCACTTTCTACTCCTTACTACACTCATCTTATCAGTTTATCTTTTTTTTACTTTACTTTACTTTTATTTTTACTTTCACTTTCATTTTATACTCTTTTTACTCTACTCTTTACCTCACCTTTAATTTTTATTTTCACTTTCACTTTTTACTTTACTTTTTATTATACTCCTTACTTTACCTTACTTTCCTTTTGATCTTGCCTTTATTTTTACTTTCACTTTCACTTTCTGTTCTTTACTATACTCACCTTACCTAATTTTATTTTTACTTTTTTGTTTGCTACTTTCACTTTCCACTCTACTTATTACTTTATTTTTTACTTGGCTTTATTCTATTCTTTCCTTTATTTTTTTCAAAATCACACAGCCTCTCTAACCCTCCGTGTGGCAGGGATCTTCAAACCTGACAGCTTTAAGACTGGTGGACTTCGACTCCCAGAATTCCTCCTCCTCCAGTCATGTTAGCTCAGGAATTCTGGGAGTTGAAGTCCTCAAATCTTAAACTTGCCAAGTTTGAAGACCCTTGGGCTACAGAGTCAGCCCCACAGTCCTCTTTATGGCAAAGGGCCACCAACGATTTAAGTAGTGATAATATATTTCAGTGTTGGACCAACAAGCAGCTTTACTTCAAGGTTCATCGATGGTGAGTGTCCCTCTGGAAAATTTAAAATGAAGAAGCTATGAGTAATTTTAGTGAGATTTATTTTTAATTGTATTTTTGCCGTAAGATCAAAAGCTGACATGTTTTTTTCCTCTTAAAGAAGCAAAAGTGTCATTTTCTACCATATTATCTGAAAGTTATCAATCAGTTTTTTCTTTCCTTTTAAGAAAAATTCAACCGTAGGATATGCGTCACAAAATTGGACACGGCTCAGACTTAAAAAAGAAAAAAATCATATAACTTTAGAACCACAGTGCCTCAAGGAACACCCACAACACACTGCAACACACAGCAAGTGGGTGCCCGTTGCCCAAATATGAATCTCCCACCCCCTTTCTGGCCTCAAGCTCTTTAAGGAGCCTTGTGCAAAATCCTCCTTTGAGAAGACCTCAAACCAGCAAAAGGAAGAGAAACCTTGGCATCCCATAACATCCAACCCTATTTTATTCCGTTGAGAAGAGTATTCTTTCTTTCCCACATAGGGGATGTCTTTCTGGAAGTGTGGATTTCAATTTCCGGGCTTTCCCGCACACAAACCTGTGATTGACAATCCTGGGAGTTGACACCACTTGCCTTAAGGAAGACTCGGCTTTGAAAACCTGATGGCCATTTCAGATTTCAACCCATAAGGGCGTCTTCCTTCCCTTTGTGGAAGATATGAGATTGAGTTGGTGACACTCAAGAACAGGGGTCTTCAAAACTTGGCAAGTTTAAAACTTGTAGACTTCAACTCCCAGAATTCCTGAGCTAACATGACTGGAGGAAGAATTCTGGGAGTGGAAGTCCACAAGTCTTAAAGTGGTCAAGTTTGAAGACCCCGATCCCTCTCTCTCTCTTTCTCTCTTTTCCTCTCTTCTATCTATCATCTATCTATCTATCATCTCTTTCTCTGTACCTACCTACCTATCTATGTATCTATGTATCTATCTATCTATCTATCTATCTATCTATCTATCTATCTATCTATCTATCTATCTATCTTATCTATCTATCTAATCTATCACAAGGGTCTTCAAACTTGGCAAGTTTAAAACTTGTGGACTTCAACTCCCAGAATTCCTGAGCTAACATGACTGAAGGAGGAATTCTGGGAGTGGAAGTCCACAAGTCTTAAAGCTGTCCAGTTTAAAGACCCCTGCACAAGAAGAATCTGAGCTCCTCCATAGTAGCTGAATGAGGTGCGTGGAGGAGGAGGAGGCAAGTTCAAGGGGTTGACTTGGACTTCAGTGGACTAGTCCAGAGTTCTTCAAACTTGACAACTTTAAAACTTGTGGACTTCAACTCCCACAATTCCTCAGCCAGCTGGGGAATTCTGGGAGTTGAAGTCCACAAGTCTTAAAGTTGCCAAGGTTGGAGAACCCTGATCACCTTGGTCCATTCAAGGAGCTTTGGAAGACCTTTGTGAGGAGGGGGTTGGACTAGAAGACCTCCAAGGTCTCTTCCAAGCCCTATGATTCTATGTTTCGCGTTCTTAGGAACTTACCTTGGGCTGGTTTCCTATTAAGGTGGAATCACTCCTAGGTGAATTTTCGATGTCTGCAAAGAAAAATTGTGATGGTTATCCAGATGGACCCTGGTGGAACTCAAGGGCTGGTTGTGACTGTTTGGGATGATAACTGCCAATCCTTTTTAAGGCAAGATAAAGAAATAAAATTAAGCAGTGAAAATATAATTTCCTTTCCTTTCCTCTGGCTTGGCTTTTTATTTCTTTGTTCCTAAAGGGTGTCTCCCTCTCCCAAGCGATGATGAAAGGAGCCAACAGTAATTATTGTGTTGATAGTCACTGAAGCAGGCAATTAATTTAATTAAAGGGCTCATTGCTGAACATCAGAAACAGAAGCGGAGGAAGGTGCATTTAATAAAGCCTTAATGATTGTGTGCAAACTTCATTAAGTGGGCCACAAGTCAGTCAGTTAGTCATGCAAGTTGAATCAAACAATATTTTATTTCAAAATTAGTACAAACAAAAGAAGTCTCCCTCCCCAACAGAAGACATGTACAACCAAAGTAAAAAAAAATACTACATTTAGTAACAGAGAACAAACCCCAGTTTGTACAAAACAACACAGGCAAACGAAACAACCCACACAGTTATAAATCCTTTCTGATCCTTTGGATCCAGAATAAAATGGAACATTTCCCTGTACATGCTGTGAGCACTCCAAAGCCTGAAACAATCAACAAAAAGTCAAAGACGTCTCGGCATTATTTTAAACCCATCGGTGTTTCTTGTTTAGGAACAAGAGGAATGAAATGAACACATGTTAAAGATGCTCCAGCTATAAATGTAGGTGTTGCTTTCTGTTCAGGCAGAAATGCTTTGCACGCACCCCCCCCAACCCCACAAAAAATGCACCATTTTTTTTTCCTCCTATCTTTTTGACAATAAATGTATTTTCTTAGGAGTACGACCATTTTCTCCTCCGTTCTGTCAGGCCTCTGTCTGTCCAAGTTAATTTCCATGTCTTTTCTGAAGACAAGACATTTTCCTTCTCCTTCACCCAGCCAGGTTGTGCTTGTGGTTTGTGCTTCCCAAGAGGATGTTGTGGGTGCCTATCTGCCCTCTGGATTCCTGTTTTCCAAAGCACAACTTGCGAAAGCAAAATAGGTACAAACTTTCTAGAAAAGCATCCGAGGACGGTGTCAGTTTTCGCCAGAAGAGAACGAAGAAAGGGCCTTCTTCAGGTTCTCAGATCATGGACTACAAGCCAGAATCAGAGTCAGAATAGAGCTGGAAGGGACCCTGGAGGTCTTCTAGTCCAACCCCTTGCTCAAGCAGGAGATCCTATACCATTTTCAGACCAGTGACTGAAAAAATCTCCAGTGATGAAGCACCCACAACATCGACCCACAAAATGAAATTACAACAAGCCAGATTCAGAATATTTGTCTTGGCTACTTAATCAAACCAGATGACATTGGATTATACAGCATGCATATAAGCTAATCAAACAACACACTAAGACACACACATACACAAACCCACCCCAATGTTTTTTATACTATCTATTCGCCCTTATTTCACAGCCTTTTGCTTTGTCAGTTTTTAATTTTGCCGTAATTCATCTCCTTACATAGTAAGAAGTTCATTTCTCTATCTTTGGTTTAGAAAAAGAGTGATGGAAAGAGGAAGGAAAGCAAAAGAGAAAAGAAGGAAAGAAAAAAAAGAGAAAAGGAAGTGGGGAAAGAAGGAAGGACTATATGTTTAGTTCAGGAGTGTCAAACTCACAGTTTGTCAGCTGGATGCATCACATGTTGGCCATGTCCGCCCCCCAGTTTAGCAAAGGGGGGGAAAAAAACTCACGATACATAATGTGACAACTACATGGCACCGCAAGTTTGACACTCCTGGTTTAGTGGGAAAACAGCAGAACAAAAGCAACGATTAGATTGGCTAGTTGTGGTTGTTATTTACTCTGGGGCAATCAGATGCTTGTCCCCTGTTCCCAGTCCTGGGAAAAGCAGAGATGGAGGAAGAAGGAGGGGTACGAAGAAAATCCCTCTTGTCCCACTCAGGAACCTGTAGCCAAATAATTGGGAGAGAGAAGAAAAAAAAAGAAAACCCAATAGCCTGTGATTAAAACTTGGTCATTAGTGAGAATTATCCATGGTTCAACAGTAAAAGGGCTCTGCCTATTTGCAGGGGACTCGTTAATCAGAATGGTTTAAAAGAACTGCAACCCAACCATCATGCATAAACAATCAGGTCCACCCCTGCTGAGTGCAAAAGCTAACTACTTCATTGTGTTCTGCCTGTCATATAGGAATCTCCCCCACTCTGGGCAGCTTTCCCTTGGGATCCATTAGATAAGGCTCCAAGGAATTCAGGAATGGCTGATTCTGGTCTTTTTATGGTTGCACCATGACTCTAGACTAGCTCTGTGCTTGATTCCTCCTCCCTTCCCAACACCAACCCTATCCCAGCTGCAATTTTCAGGAGTTGAACTGGGGGGCTGCTGGCTTGACAGCCTCTTACTGCAGCAGGGGCAAAATTAGAGCCAGTTGAACTTCCCTCCTCATTTACCAAAATGAATATTGGGATTTATTTTCATGATTGTTCATTAACTGACCCCCACCTCCCCTCTGCACTTCCTGTTCCTCCTCCGCCCATCTTTTAATTCATATGACTGCCCTTCCCTCATTTATTTTAATTGTTTCATTGCTTTGCTGGTGTTACGTTTACAATTTTTATTAGGGTCGTCCCTCCCCCCCCCGTGTTCTTGTTGTGAGCTGCCCTAAGCAGCCCCATGATAAGATGGGCAGCAAATTTATTTAAGAAATAAATAAATAAGTGATATCAGAAGGTAAAAGTCCACGCTGGTGTGGCCTCTCCTCTGCCCCCTTCCCGCTTGTCCTTCTAAATTTTGGAATTGTTCCATTTTTTTTAAAAAAAATGTGAGGGGCAACTGCCTCAAGCATCTCAAAACATTTATGCTAACCATGATTCTGGTTCTGCAGCCTTCTCAGAGGAGAAATTGCAGAGTGGACGGGCTGTTCTCCCCTCTTGTGACCTGGTGGTTCATTGCAAGAGTGTTACAGGATAACTGAGTCGGAAGAGACCTTGGGGGCCTTGTAATCCAACCTCCTGTTCAGCAGGAAACCCTACCTCATTCCCACCAGGCTCCAGGTTGACTCAGCCTTCCGTCCTTCCGAGGTGGGTAAAACGAGGACCCAAAATGGTTGGGGGGCAAGAGGCTGACTCTAAACCGCTTAGAGAGGGCTGGAAAGCACTAAGGTCTATTGCTATTCCAGACAAGGGATCTTCCAATCTCTTTTTAAAAGCCTCCTGGGATGGAGCGGCCCCAACATCTGGTGGCAAGTTGTTCCACTGGTTAATTGTTCTCACTGTCTGGACATTTCTAGGTGGCTTCTCTCCTAGATTAGTTTCCATCTATTGCTTCTGGTCCTGCCTTCAGGTGCTTTGGTGAATAGGTTGACCCCTTCTTTCCGATGAGAACCTCTCAAGGACTGGAAGATTGCTATCGTGCCACCCCTAGTCCTTCTCCTCACCAGACACACCCAATTCTGACAACCATTCTTCTTCGGTTTCAGCCTCTAGTCCCCTAATCATCTTTGCTGCTCTTCTCTGGGATCTCACTTGATCTAGTCTTCATTTGGTCAATGCTGCCAGCCCCCCCACCCGCACCCCCCGAGCATCCTGACTGTGGACCAGTCTCCAAAACCCGGGAGCCCCTGACAATTAGCAGTGTGTGTATCGTGCCAACAATTGATCTTCTGAACATCGATCCCTGGAGGTGTTCAAATCAATTCTCTTGTCCTTTGCTATGGTGGTTCCATATATTTTTTGGGGGGCAGGGGCGTGTTTTTGCTTTTTGTCATCTTTCTCTGTGGGTGGGTGTGCCTGTGCAGCAAATCTTCCTGTCTTATGTGGCGGGGGTTTGCAGCCTCTTGGGGACGGGGGGGGGGGGGGGGGGGGGGGGGGGGGCTTGTTACCTGAGCGCGTTGTGATATGTTGATTCCTCTTGGCAGCTGTGGAAAGAAGAGAAACCGAGTGAAACGCAGGAAGTGGGTGGGTTGTGAGCTGCAACTGCCGTCTTGACGCAAAGTTGCGGACGTGTGCAAATAAGTTGTGGCTAATCTTAGCGAAACCTGCAAGGGAGTGTGGGTGGGTGGGGAAGGGGGCAGGGTCTAAGGTAGATTCTCCAGCAAAGAGGAGAGGAGTAAAAAGAAGAAAAAAAATCAAGGTGGTGGACACAGCCACGGGGCTCCAAATCCTGCCCTTTTGGTTGTGTGTTGGCTAGGAATTCTCTTGCCGAGGAAGGAGATGGCTTGGAGGCCTGAGCGATGCAAGGAGGAGCCCAGATTAAAATGGTTGGGCCCTCCTATCCCTGGGACATCCATGGAGAAATACCATATTTCTCGGTGTATAAGACACACTCCCCCCACACACACAAAGTGGATGGAAATTCTATGCATCTTATACAGCGAAGGTTGGCAAAGCCCCTCCCACCCACCGCCACCCACCCTTTGCCCTCTGCCTCCCAGCAATTTACCTCCTTGCAGCAAACAGCAAACAGCCTGGTCAACTCCAGCACAGCCTGATTTAGCATGAGTAGCTGATTGTCGGTTGGATCGCCCTCCCGGTATACCGACAATCAGCTGTTCCAGTCTGCAGGCATAACCATTGCCTATCGCCATCTCTGCATGCCCCATATTCAGCCTCCGTGCACCCCGTTTTCAGCCTCCATGTGCCCCACGGGATGCGTGGAGGCCAAAAATGGGACATGTGGAGGCCAAAAATGCGGTATGTGGAGACCGAAAACGGGGGTGTGTGGAGGCGGTGATAGGCTGTGGCGATCCCTGCAGCCTGGAACAGCTGATAGTCAGTATTCTGGGAGGCCGATCCAACCGACAATCAGCTGCTTGTGCTAAAATCAGGCTGTGCTGATACTGACCGGGCTGTTTCCTGCAAGGAGGCAATTTTATTTATTTTATTTATTTATTTTTCAAGCATGTTTTAGATAACAGATATAATTAGGAACATGATTATGAGTACATGAAATGGGTATGAATAAAAGGGGACATTAGGACAGGGACGGTAGGCACTTTGGTGCGCTTATGCCTGCCTCTTACAGACCCTCTTAGGAAAGGGGTGAGGTCAACAGTAGACCGTCTAAGGTTAAAGTTTTGGGGGTTTAGGGAAGAGACCACAGAGTCAGGTAGCACATTCCAGGCATTGACCACTCTGTTGCCGAAGTCATATTTCCTGCAATCGAGTTTGGAGCGGTTTACTTTGAGTTTATATCTATTGTGTGCTCGTGTATTGTTGTGGTTGAAGCTGAAGTAGTCATTGACAGGTAGGACATCATAGCAGATAATTTTATGTACTATGTTTAGGTCAGACCGAAGGCGGCGTAGTTCTAGGTTGTCTAAGCCCAAAACGTCAAGTCTGGTGGCATCAGGTATTCTGTTGTGAGCAGAAGAGTGGAGGACTCTTCTCGTGAAATATCTCTGGACTCTCTCGATTGTATTAATTCTGATATGCATATGTATATGTCATGGCCTTGTTGGAATCTGATTCCAAGGGGGAGATTGAGCAGCTGACAGGGAGTGGGAGTGGGGCTCCGGTGGCTGTGGAGGAAACGGGGGAAGGGCACAGTTCGGCTGGGCATTCAGAGGAAGACCCAGGCCCACCCCCTCTTCATCCTAGGGCATGCAGGGAGGAACAGAGAAGGGAGCAACGTGGGTTACAGGGGAGAAGGAGCCCCTGATTCCCTTCATTGGCTGCAGCTGGGAAAACAGGATAAACAGGGCGTTTGTGCACAGCACCTTGCTGGAAGCAAAGCATGCATTATCTTTGTTTGTCAAGTCCTATCTGGGTTCTGGCGTCCTCCCAACTGTATGTGTTTCGTTATCTTCTGCAATTCCTTATCCTGCCCTGTTTCATTCATTCCTGTGGTGTGGTTTGCGTTGGTTTTTATTTATAATTTATATGTACTTTTGGTTCAGACTAAATTTCTTCCCTTTAAAAACTGTTCTTGGGAGAGTTTTTTTTCTCCAGCCGACAATAACTGTACATTTGAGGTCAAGTTGGAGGAATTAAAGGGACTTTACCTACTTTTTTTTACTTTGTTGCTTTTGTGCCATTTGGGTCATCACAGTAAATATATATGCAAATGTATATGACGAGGTCCCACTTGCCATCTTCAGAGTGGTGCTTTCGGTTTCATGCTTGTGCGAGCAAAGCGTGATCTGAGCTGCTGTCTCTCTATAAATACTGGTGGGGAGGTTGGCTGTGTTGTCATTTCCTGATTGGTTGATGGAGTTGATGTTTGCAGATTGGCTGGCTTTTTCGTAAGAACATGTGTGGCTGAGGTATTGGCTGTGTGTCTATCAGCCTCCTGTGTTGTAACAACCTGGGTAATAAGCTGTGCGATGACCTTCTGAGTTCTATTGTTGTGATATCCTGGCTCTTGTCCAGAAACGGCTGTGAAAGTCTGACTCACAGTCGAACACTATACAGAAGCCTGATGATGGCAGATGAGATTCTGCCGAAATGTTGCTACAACTTTAAAAGCACAACTATAATGACGTGGGAAAATACCCGAACAAAGACCTAGAAAACTTTGAATTACGCCGTCTTCGATCTGATCTAAGTAGGGTATATAAAATCATACATTGCAATGTCCTACCAGTCAATGAATACTTCAGCTTCAACCATAACAACACAAGAGCACACAATAGATACAAACTCAAGGCTAACCGCACCAAACTTGATTGCAGGAAATACGACTTCAGCAACAGAGTGGTCAATGTCTGGAATACTCTACCTGACTCTGTGGTTTCTTCCCCAAACCTCAAAAGCTTTAACCTTA